GCATGGCTAACTCATATATTGAATTTGAATTTAGTGTGTTAAGTTTTATGTGGAATGGGAAAAAACAGAGAAAAACTCTCAAATCAAGGGAGAGATCTAACAAACTCTACTTCCATGTGATTGTGAGACCAGGAATCCAACCAGAGACCCAGCCCAGAGGCAAAATGCAAGTGCACTGTCACTACAGCACCTTAATTTATCAATGATCATTATAAATTACTGAATTACTCAAGATAATGGTAAAATTCAACACAACACCTAAAGAAAACTTTACCTTCATAACTTTAATATCAATCTTCTTTCTATCCATTGTACTGTCTAACTGAGCTGTGATATTTATTTGGTACAAATCAGTATATCAGCTCTTCTTTCTATGCGAGTTGTAGATCTTGAAAGAAAAATAAATGGTAACTTTAAACATTTTCAAAATTGAAGCATAGATTTCTGGTTTTGCATTACAATTTCTATGGGGCAGAGAAGATCTTGCTTCCTTTAAAGGACTTTACTGGGGCCTAATACCAATCCCCTGGGCACCTATCCACAGTACAAACAATTTTATGAGAATAAATTCTTCATAAACTTTTCTGCCCTTGCCCCCAACCCCCTAGACTTCATTACTAAAGTATATAGTTCTATACATGCGTTATTACTTAGCTAGGAACAGATAAACCGCCTAGGTTAGCGTTCTAACATGTAGGATGCACATTTTAGGTCCTTTAACAACACAGATAGTACTTACAATGTAGCTTACATGTATCTCACATGAAAATAACCATTGTGGCTTCTTAAAGCCTTAAAAACCTAAACCTGATTAAATGCTAGATGTAATACAAAGTTACATTTAGACTTTAGGTACTAAATATGGAATATAAAGCCCTATAAAGACGATAAAAGGTGAAAAAGCTTTCAACTCACGTCTTTGTTTTGGAGCTCCTCACATCATTCAGGTAACAAGAATTATATATTCGGACCAGATGACTAATCCGTTCAAAGTCCCGTACTGTCCTCTACAAACTACCAGAGTTTTAAAGTATTTATAGGAACTAATAAGATTTTAAAGGCGAAAAATGACAGACAAAGTTTGTCAAACGTTGTTCGCCATTTTGAATTTGCTCCACGTGAGAATGAATGGAAGCCTGGACACAACCTCGATTTGGTTCATGAATACCGCGGGAACTTCAAAGTGGCTCTTTTTTTATTTTATTTTATTTTATTTTTTCTGACCACCGTTTTGATTTTATTCAGAAAATAATTAGTTTTATTTTAGCTGGAACGATAATATTTCCATACAAAAATTTGACAAGGATGAACGTTTGCAATAATGTAATAGTTGGACCGGTGTTACCATAGTAACGATGACCAAATTCTCCCGAAATCGTTTTCTTTTTCTAAAATTTTTGATTTTTCATGAACCTTAAACGAAGAAGACATGCGCATCTGTTCATTTCAATTTAAATAAAAAAGAAAACGCATCCCACATGGAAAGGAGTGACCATTGGTACCTACTCATCATTGGCACAAACTGGACACTGGGTCTGCTGGTCATAGCAAGGGGTTAATCATATAAGGTCTAGGGGCCGACTAACCTCTCCCTTAGGCTTCGACCGAGCTTCCTGATCAGTCTGTAATTCCTCCCGGGATAGCGGTGTTGGGGTTGAAATCTCCAGCGTAGCCGTAAGTCCATACGACGGTTCAGCACTCGATGTCTGGAAGTATGGTCCTGGTTAATCGATCGATAAAAAATAAAATGCAAATATCTCATGAGAATAAAAACCTTTGTTTCCCCAGCATAAATTTATTCTCAAGCGCTTGAATTTGAGGCTACGCGTGGTGGAATCTATTGTTCAATTCAACATGGCTGCCGCGTGAATAAGGCCCATGCAAACGTCCTATTCAAGACCTAAAATAGAGACCTTAATAACTGTACACCACTCTCGATTCCCACAAAGACGAAACCTAACTGTCAAGAAGCTCTTTAGATGGTTAATGACCACACATTTTTTTGTTCTTTTCGTTCTTTTCATTTTTTGTTTTTTTGTTTGTTTGTTTGTTTGTTGTTTTTTGTTTTGTTCTTGCATTTGGTTGTTCTTGTCGTTGTTGTCGTTGTTGTCGTTGTTGTCGTTGTTGTCGTTGTTGTCGTTGTTGTCGTTGTTGTCGTTGTTGTCGTTGTTGTCGTTGTTGTTGTTGTTGT